TTAGTACAGTACAAGAGTGAATAAGTCGTATTTCAATTAGCAAATAAATCACATGATAACTAGCCGGCCTTGAAGTCACAACAAATACCTTGCACAATATGTAACTATAAATAAATATCATACTACTGAAATATTCACATATGCAAAATAACTAGTTTAAAACACTTATTTAAGTAGATTCCACAAAACCTTAAATAGTTTGACATCGTGTATCATCAACTTTATTTGAAGAGTTTTTATTGATTAAATTGAAACGTCTGATTGTTCTTACAAAAACTACAAAACTTTATAAGAAAGGGTCAAAATCATCCTGTGACAACCACAGAGGGACTAGTTTAACTAATATAATATCTAAAATACTAGCCTCGATAATTATCAAACGCCTAACTAAGACTCGTGAACTGCAAACACGAGAGAACCAAGCTGGCTTTAGACCTGGTCGTGGCTGCATCGACCACATATTCACCATTCGTCAGGTTCTAGAACACAGGTATACTTATCGGCGCCCGACAGTGATGGTCTTTCTTGACTTAAAAGCAGCATTTGACTCTGTGGACCTCGAGATTCTGCGGCAGTCACTGTCATTGAAAGGCGTACCCCAGAATTACATAAACCTTGTGAAGGCTCTTTACTCGAACTCTACTAGTCGAGTCAGAGCTGATGGCGAACTGTCATCTACTTTTGCAACTTCAAGTGGTGTCCGTCAAGGATGTCCACTTTCCCCATTTTTGTTTACCTTCATCATAGATCTACTGATGGAAATAACTTTCTCGTCGACTGAGTTCTCGGGTATTGATCTCCATCCAGGAGGTCCACTTATCGACTTAGAATACGCAGATGACGCAGTCCTGTTTGCTGAAGACACTGATAAAATGAAGAGTCTTCTGGAGGCACTAAGCAACTATGCCAGAATGTTTAGAATGAGCTTCTCTCCCTCTAAATGCAAGTTGTTGCTTCAGGACTGGCCTGCGTCAACATCTGAACTAAATATAGGGAGTGAAGTAGTCGAACGCGTTGACAACTCCACTTATCTTGGAAGTCTGATCAGCCCTAATGGGTTGGTATCGGACGAAATCTCAGCACGGATTCGGAAAGCTCGTTTTGCATTTTGCTAACTTACGTCATCTATGGTGAAGGCGAGATATCCGTCTATCAATAAAAGGACGAGTATACTGCGCGGCAGTCCGTTCTGTTTTAATTTAAGGCAGCAAGGCATGGCCATTAAGGGTAGAAGACACTCGTAAGCTATTAGTATTTGACCACAGATGCCTTAGAAATATTGCTTGCATCTGCTGGTATCACCGGGTAAGTAATAATGAGGTTAGATAGGGTATGGTAAGTCAGTTGATGAGATTGTGAGTCTTCATCGACTGAGATGGTTGGGCCACGTGTCACATATGCCTGAACACCGACTACCACGACGTGCAATGCAAACTGCTATTGAAGATAGTTGGAAGAAAGTTAGGGGCGGCCAAACCAAAACCTGGCATCAGTGCTTGAAGTCACTAACTTCTAGTCTGAGCCATGTTGGTAGATACAGACTATTTGGTTGGGGTCCGCGTGACTATCGTAACCAACGGCTGGAGACTCGTGGTGACATGGCTCAGAATCGATCACAATGGCGTCGGTGTATACACTACCTGTCTTCCCTTAAACTAAGAGAATAAAATCTCTTCATATCTTTCTTTCTACGAACCAATTCTTTCTTCTTGTACTATATCTCTATATGTAATCTTTCTCTTATATATTACCACCTTTGACCTAAACACGGCTACGAATCCGGTGTTCATCTTGTTGTGCTGATGCGGTATGGCAACCTGGACCGATGCACATATGTGCCTGGTCCTACGTTGAAGCTGACTAACTGACAAGACTGCATATGGTATAAGTTGTGTCAAGGAGCTTGTCTTTATTAATGGTTTTTATTATCAAGTGGTTATAGAAAACTGCATTCAGTTTGACTAAAGTAAATGTCTTCCACACTTCACTTCATAACTTTTAAGTTACAACTTTCCTTTGTATTATCACTTAAGAATTGTAATTTTAGGAACAGTACTCTATTTGAAACGATGGATACATTTGATCTTCTTTATATCTTATTCATATGTTTCTTGATGAATTTCGTTAGATATACATTTCTACTGAGCAGGTTACGAATATTACTCACTTAATCTATAATGGTGTAATTAGAGTCAGGATATATTTTAAGCGTCTTTTATATCCGATTAACACAGTACTATAGAAATGAGTATACTGTCCAACTGAAGATTTTCTATGAATCTCTCGTGTTATGTAATTCATTGTAATTATACTTATCTTAGAACAGAAGTTAAAAAAAGATCAATCTACAAGGGTTGTCATGTTTCAAATTAGATAGTAATGTACACGATTCACAACGATGTTTAAGAGGTCACTTAGGTAAAATAGGCAAAATAAGTCTGTTAAAGACAAAACATTTCGTACATTTTGAACGAAATTTATCCTCAAAAATGAAATGATTCTGGTAAACAGCTCAAAATCAATTATGTCCAGCCATGACAATAAGACAGCGCTTTCATCATGATTTTGTAGTAAACCCATTATAGATACAAGTCATTACATAGAAGCATTTATTAAAATTACCGAAAGCTTGATTATTTAAAGAAATCAGCTTAGTTGGGCACAAGTTACTTCCCTTGATAAATTTGGTTGACATAAACTTTGATTTTATGTTTATTGACAATAATGAATTAAACATAATAAATAAGGGAAAAGAAAACAAACCTCTTTGTTCACACTTCATGATAACAATGACTGTGCACGCGTTAATCAACAACACTAATTCTAAAGCAACTAGTATATGTGATTTCCTTACCATAAATTCCAAATGTTGCTTCATGGTTGGGCTACCTTAGCTCTTGATGAGGAGCATAGCAATAAAGTGCGTCAACCGTCTCTTTTATCCTAAAAGTTTAATCGGTCCTGATGTCTGACGAAGTCTCAATCTGGATTTAGAAAGACTGATTGGCATGTGCTAACTCAAATCACCTGCAGCGTAGGCGATGCGCTCGTCTATTATTCAAAAATGATTATAATTATGAAACGTCATAATTTATTAGGGACGAAAACCCGAGCTACTTATCCAAAGAAATATTAAAAATTTATTCAATGTTTGAACTTCAATCAAAACTCTAGAAATCTTGTTTCCAGACAGTTTTTTTAGCATACTTCCTGAAGTTTATTACACTGTATTTTTTATCTAAGAAATTAATTAATTTACCGTCTTTGATATCTATTAAGACTTCTTTCCACACTAAGCGTAAACTGCTAGTATTCAAAATATTATGAACTGGTTACGATAGACTGTTTCTTCTATATATTTTTTGGCTTGGTTCAAGTCATAGGAATTTGAAATAGTGAAAGAGTAATTTAAAAGTGAACGATTTGAATTTACTTTACTATGTAACTGAACTGAGGGAAGAAATAAACTCTACATGCTAAGATCACTGGTTACTCGGGGATGAAAAGCACTAGGAAAGTCTACAAATTCTGGCAAAAGAGCTTCATAGACTATTATCAAAAACTGTGAAGAGTCTATGAGCAACTAAAATATGTTCTGCAGCTGTTTTTATGTTGAACACCTAATCCGCTACGTTCCAACAAGAGCCAACTAACGTGTATTAACAAATAAATATTTGCGTTTATTTTATCGATATTATTAACTGTGTAATGGTAAGATACCAATCTAACAGTGTACTTATGGTGACTTTTAAATTACATTCATTAAAAATTTCGAATAAATTAGTCACGGGGAAATAAAAAGTTAAGGCTAAATGACGCAATTCCAATACCACAAAAACTCATGAAGATTGTTTTTTCAAAAAGCGCCAGGTGAAAATCAATCTGCCTGTTCTTTATGTAAAGAGATTGGAAAAACATAACAGCATATTAAGAAAGCATATCATTGCTTATAGACGAAACTGAGACTACAGATATTGGGTTCGCAAACTTTGTGTAATCGTTGAAGCCTATTTAATCCTGTCGATTTGCAAACCCGATTCCGTGTAAACAACTCCTTCTGAAGTAAAAGTACTAGAGTGTTTCTAAACTCTGGTAACACAAAAATTATTCAATTTGACAATGATTTTAAATTAATTTAGTGAAAGATCTTTTATGTTAACAAATCATGTGCATTGTTTCTGAGTAGCAGGTTGATTGTGTACTATAGCATCTTGTGAAGTTTGAATACTTTGAGTATGAATACAGTTTCATGAAATTTCATAGGATTTAAAAATAAAAATTCTTCCATAAGGGTCACTCATTAAAAGTTTCGCATCAGTTTCAACATTCTTTTCAAATGTTTATTAAGGGTAATTTAAGGAAAATTATGGACACTGAATTTTTAGTCTCGCATCATTCATTATTTAGACTATGCATGTAATGTTTGTAGTACTATTACAGTGGTGACATTGATGAGTACCTAAAGGAAAGCTTAGTTATAATAACGATTGTCAGCGATTCCAAGGGTGATTTTACGATATATAAACGACTTACGTAGATCAAAACAAATCTGATGTGAAACGTTAGTAATGAAGATCAGAAATTAGAGAAAAGAGCCGGGAATAAAGATAAGTAATATGGATTTCATCGAGCAATCACATGAGTTATGACGCAGTAATGATACTAAGACGGAATAAAGAGTATATTTGTAGCGAAAATTCCAGAGTCTTGACTTAAAAACCGATTAGCTCGTCCTTATACATTAGTTAAATTCTACTGATTCAAAATTTACATCTAAAATGCTAACGAACCAAGAAATCGTAACATATGACTTTTATAATAACCAGTTAAACATCCGTGAAATTTTGATATTGTCTTTACATTACTGTCTGGAATAATAGTTGAATTAAATACAAATGTTTTAAAAGGTATCTTGAAGCAAGCTCACTGTCCCAAGTCTCTTGATTCATCAATTAAAACACTATAAATTACTTAAAATGATGAAAACTGATCGGACTTACACCCAATCATAGCACAAGCTAACTTGTAGGTTGTTTTGTATGACTAACGGTTACCAAGGTCAACATCATCTATACTCATAAGTTCGCCAAAAATACGTCCTTTGAAGTTATAGGTATCAAATAGAAAAAACAACTTGTAATCTTGATTCTGAGTTTATAAAAATTTATGCAATGTATCTGTTTTTTCTGAAAGACAAGAGAAATGGGTGCTTTTCAGATTCAAACTTGTTACTAAGTAATTTGAAACGGTGATTAAGCTACATACAATCCCTATAAATTGTTAGAGGGAAAAGTTCAGTTTATTCAATCTTTCTTCCCACTTCAAATAATAAGTGCAAGAAACCAGCCTATTTGCAGCTTTTTAAACGTGATTTTAGCTACTTGTTGTTCAACGTTGAAACTATAAACACTCATGTTTATGTTCCCTCTTTGAACCATGGCAGCAGATGATAGATGAAATGATTTATTTGGGTGGTAGACAGACTACAGTGCTCGGTAATCCGTTAGATTATCCAATTTTACTACAAACGAGTGTTTGTGCAGTCTGTTTATTGCCAATACAATAGCTCGAGCCTCCTTTTATATCTGAAAATATCCTTGTTCAGTTTCTTGAGTAGTACAACTCCGTTATGATAGCTGAGTGTTTAATTTCAGGCCGTGTTGACCACAAACTCTTTGTGTCTTTGCAGTATTCTTTAATGGAATCATGAAAGAGGTAGCCTAACCGGACGATTTATATGATACTTTTTATGATGATTAGAAGTATTTCTATTGTAGATCACCAACGTAGATGATCTATGTCGAAATGATTGGACGCCTACTCGAGTTAAACGTGAATGGTGTGACAAACTAGCTAACGTCGAAGTCACACCTCGTGGTCAGCGCTTTATGTGAACTACCCCATTGACGTATCAAGGTACCATAGATGCTTCGAAGACTGTACAACACAGAGGACGTTAATACAGAAATATATTAGTTAAAATAGATACAAGCGAAAGTAGACCACTGTCGCATGGGCCAGTCCATGGCATACGCGTTGGTTGTCCCTGACATTGACGAGGATCGATGATTTGCTCGATATTCAGTGACCCAACTGCCGGATGATTTGGCTAGGGCTTAGTGACATTTCACTGGCCCTACAATATTAAAATGCTAAGAATTTCGGGAATAGTGCTTTTTAGGCCAGATAGAACTGAATGATCACAAACGAACGTAGTGCATTTGAAATTCCTAACAAGCGCGTAAGCAGGTACAGACGGATAATCAAATAGCACAATACGACATTTATTTCCCGTTTTCAAACAGTTTACATTGCTCACTCTTCACAACCTATTTAGGACCATATGGGCTGTTCCTTAATTTATAAAAATATTGCGTGAGTTTTAATATCTCCCACGGCCTTACAGTATTGTGAGGACAGATATCTGAATAAAGCACCTTTAGAACCATTAGTTATAAGGAAATATGTACGATTAGCAATCTTAGGCCAATTAGACCAAGCACAGACGAGCCATAGTCGCCAACTAGGAAATAAATAATAAATTCACTCCCCTCTTCGTGCCTCAATGGAATGCTAACTGTGCCAATAATCGTAAACTGATGACTAGCGATTCAAATGACCGCATTACTTGTGAGCTTTAATTTAACATCATTAAAAGAGACGTTAAATTCCTCCTAAAATAATTGGATTTATGCTACTTGCATCAGCAAAACATGAACGGGACTTACTTGTGTTAGCAATTGATTTTTAAATCAAATATGAAGTACTTCTGAAATCAATAGTGAGCGACAGATAATTCATTATTTTTTCTAAATCAGTTAGTCTTAATCCACCATGATTCAGTGTCTCATTGGTAAATGACTTGGATCTCTGACGAACTTTGCACATATATCCATCCTTCTCATAGTTACGGCAGCTTCCATGACGAAACTGACGTGAATTAGAAAGATGAAGCATACTACATGAAGAACATATTGATACCTGAAGACGAATGAAAGCACTTTTCAAACTGTTTGCATGTCTGAACAAAAGTCGGTACTATTCCCGCCAGAATTCCGAGGTTTCTGGAGTATGAAGAATTTATTCACGTTCAATCACAAAACTTCATGTTGTTTCGCAGCGGCATGACTAAAATGATTATTGGCACTTTTATGGGCAAAACAGGAGTGCTCAGCCATCTTAAAAGTTCACAAAAGGATTTGTATAATCTGCATACCTTAATTACAATCATTTATACCAGCAATCAGACAGTCACTCAGTAAGCGTGTAGCCGCTTACTGAAACCACACCTAGAATCTTGTGTCTGAAGCTGCAGTGTAAAATTTCTGATAGTCCTGTAGAGTTATGGTCTACTATGATATTAGTGCTGCTCTAATAATAGATTTGTCATGGTATAACTGCCTAATCTATATGATCTTACGTGGAAGTCACATCATCGCCTACACCAACTCACTGTATCATAACAACTACCAATACATGATGGAGAGCAAGCTTAGGCTGGAGACAGAGTAATATATTTAATATGAAGAAAAGATATAAGGTAACATTCGGCAGGGACCACGTCTGTATGGCCGAGCCATGCCATTCAATCAACTTCAATTCATTCAACACATTCTTCCCGCCTTCTCCATCGTTCGATATTTCTCCGCTTTAAGTACTGAATATCTACTTTCCGAGTTGTCTAGTGTTCAGCTTTGAGGATTGTGTCGTTATGTTCCAATGCCACTACAGTCTGATCCGAAGAATGAATGTATTTGTTGAATTGTACATTTTCACGCGTTTCTAATCATGATAGGTGAAAACGATATACTAGTAATCTCTTTAGTTTAGGTTCATTAGAATATCCTAGGTTTTCACTAACAAATGATTAAGAAATAGTTTTCATAGAACATTTGTCGCACTGATTTGAATAAGGAGGTTCTCTAAGTTCGATTAGCGGAAATAATTGTCGAAAAATATTCTAAAGGTATGTGAAATCTGTAGTTTATGAAAAATAAATATTTAATAGAAAGACAGGAAAGAAATAAAAGGATAAAGTGGAAAACAGCATGTTACAACAAAAAATTTCCGCAATCCACATCCTTCCATTACTGGCTCACTCAGAATTTACACTCTCTATCACTAGTGAAATTGATAAAGCAATTTAAAAAGCTAAGAGTTTTATGTTGCTAATGACTGGATAATAAGGATGTAAACAAGTCTACCTGGTGTGACGTTGGGTGAGAGAATAATTCGTTCACTGACAAATCGCCGACCATACTTGACTCTATAAATTAATTGTGGCTTTGCAAAAATGCGTAATTTACCTTCTTTCTCAACAACACTTAGTTCATCCAGGCCTGTCCAAAATAATACATTTCGTTTTTGAGAAATCCTGTTCATAAGGTCCACCTATCCGAGCTCTTAAGGAAACGTATTACTTCTTGAATTAAATTCACCAAACACACTTCAAAGAACAATCAGACTTTTGATTCACATGCTTCTTGAGTCTAATGTGAGCTCGCATATCTCTTAAAAATAATCAGAAATATCCAGTTTTCCGCAACCACATTGAGATATTTGAACACTTCCAAGGATAAGAACTACACCTTCACCTTCCTGATAAACAACCATAACAACAAATCTAACCGTGAGATACCGAGTTACGTAATAGTCCTCGATTTTGAAAAAGCCTTTGACACAGTACTTCATATATTTCTCATGAAGAGTGTTGCAAAGACGGGCATCACTGACTCAATTCTATTCTGGCTCCCAAACGGCTAAGAAAACAAGGTGTCTTGTGTCAGGATAAGTACAGTGCATGCGAGTTGACAGGTTTCAACGTCAGTAGTTTCACGAGAGACAATCTCAAGTTCGACCTGCTCAGCTTCACTGATCTATGCGGACAACGCAGAGGTCTAAAAGTCCTAATAATCCAAAACGTTTGATGCAAGCTCGTAACAAATATGCTGAATATATGCTATACATCCAACAATACATCGAGATTCGCTCACCATCAAGTATTTGCATGAACAACTGTCATAGTCGCTTACAATAAATTACTCTCAAAGGGTTTTAAAAGCTAAATTATCGTTGTTGTTTGATATAGAATTGGAGTCACGGACATCGGACAGTGAATTCGTTTGAATGCACCAACTTATTATACAATTTAAGAAATACAAACTACACGGAAAGTGACGACAAAAACGTCAAGCTGAAACTGCGAATTCTCACGTACATGTTACACATGGTCGAGTATTTTTTGTGTCGCTATTTACCAGCTATGAACAAAATTTTCGCCATCAAACGTTGATTTTCGTATTGTTTGTGCTTGTCACATAACCTTTATTCCAAATAATTAGTAAACTAGCGTAGTTGTTGTTCACCGATCGGGTGAATGTTAAGTCAACTTAATGTGAATATTTGTATCAATATAAACTCAAACAAGTGAGATTTACTATTAGTCAAATATGAGATAGGACATATCCAAATTTTTTAAGTCAATAATGAGCTCTAAAAACTTTTAGCGTTTGAAACATCATCCCAAAATTTGTTGATGAATATGGATGTATAGTAATTGTTTGCTAAATGCGGGTTGAAGCAAGTTTGTATTAATCTATTTTCGAACATTATATAATTTGTTATTATACAACCAAAAACAGTTCTAACCGTTATATATATCATTTTTTGACGAACTGACATATTAATAGGCGAGACTGTAATTTATGGACGACACGATACACATAACCAAGTATATGTAGGAATCTGTACGCTCTCCAATCATCCGAATATATTGTAGTACCTGGGTGCAGCCAGTGTTACTGGTGCTTTTATTCTCCAGTTCGCAATAATTGTCATAATTTGTCTTAGTTAGGAATTATATATTGGGTTTTCATCACTAACTGACAACAGCTATAATGTCAAAACTCAATTTAGCCAAATGGATGAAAGGCTTTCGCGCCAAAATCCGAGATCTGGTATCTTATTCCTGATTGGGTCGTCCACAAATTATAGTCTCGCAGTTTTATTTGTTATAGCCACTCAATCATCACGTTTTGAATAAAATCACTCATAAACCGATCGTACGTTAGCATTAAGTGAGAAGTTGGCGCTG